AACTATAATTCTGACTCTGGCCGTGGAAGCCTACGATTTCATTTTACTACATTGAAAATGTTCAGTTGGTCCTAGTTGTAAAAAACACTGTCACAAACATGTTAAAAATATTAAAAAATACATTTAAAATTTTGAATAAAAACATTACAAACAACAGGGTAGTTTTTCAAATACAAACACAACAAAAAAATCTAAAATTTACAACCTACAAAAACCACAAATAGAAAAGAAGAATTAATCTTCTTTTTTGATGACATATTTCTGTCAACATCCGGGTGTCATATGTAACGAGGTTATAATTTTCACTTTTGCACATCACAACCACATGGATACGAAAAGAAAGAGCCCTAGGCAACATAATAAGCAAGGAAATGAAGTCCCCTCTAAAGCACAGGTAGGTAATCTATGTATGTCATGATAAGTTCCCCACATTTTCCAGTTTGTTACTTCTTGTCAAGTCCTGTTGAAGTAGAAAGGAATAAATACAACTTAAGTTTTCAACATCTTTCTTACAGTTCATAGGAGAGCTGCAGTTATGGGATGTAGCACATTTCTATGAAGTTTCTCTTAAATTGGTTGTCAACCCTCTTTAGTACTTGCGGTACTATGTCGGTCAAACCAGCCAGAAACTCTCAAAAAGAATAGCTTTGCACAGGAGTGATGTTGTGAGGAAGCCCACCAGCACAGCCTTTAGCCAACATATTAAGAATACTGGACACACTGCTAACTATGAAAATGTGCAAGTACTAAAGAGGGTTGACAACCAATTTAAGAGAAACTTCATAGAAATGTGCTACATCCATAACTGCAGCTCTCCTATGAACTGTAAGAAAGATGTTGAAAACTTAAGTTGTATTTATTCCTTTCTACTTCAACAGGACTTGACAAGAAGTAACAAACTGGAAAATGTGGGGAACTTATCATGACATACATAGATTACCTACCTGTGCTTTAGAGGGGACTTCATTTCCTTGCTTATTATGTTGCCTAGGGCTCTTTCTTTTCGTATCCATGTGGTTGTGATGTGCAAAAGTGAAAATTATAACCTCGTTACATATGACACCCGGATGTTGACAGAAATATGTCATCAAAAAAGAAGATTAATTCTTCTTTTCTATTTGTGGTTTTTGTAGGTTGTAAATTTTAGATTTTTTGTTGTGTTTGTATTTGAAAAACTACCCTGTTGTTTGTAATGTTTTTATTCAAAATTTTAAATGTATTTTTTAATATTTTTAACATGTTTGTGACAGTGTTTTTTACAACTAGGACCAACTGAACATTTTCAATGTAGGTTTTTAAATGTTGATTTCCACCACTGTACTATAATAGGTTTTCCATTTAGGTGCTGATGAAGGTGACAACATATCACCGAAAATTTCACATATAGAATAAAGTTCTACACCAAGCTGGCTTATACCATCTCTAGCTGATCCTTGTTTTGACGCTTTCCCGAAAGTTACCCTCCAAAGAATTATATATATATATATATATATATATATATATATATATATATATATATATATATATATATATTTAGGTATCAGATGCAGCAACTTAAACTTATTCGTAAACTAGTTCGTAAGGTTTTATTATGCAATTTGCAGTTTAGTTAAATTTTGGAATGGATTGTATATTTTATTATCTTTTTTTTGTGATATTGACGATTTATGTAATTTTAATTATTATTGTTATTTTTTTGACATTTTATAAGCTTTGTCCATAAAATTGTACAATTTTCAGTGACAATACAGCATATTTCTATTCTATTCTATTCTCTAGCTGGCCAGGGTAACCTGCGCGCATTGTCCTGCATAAAAACGGCGTCCACCAAGCCCTGCTATGGTGGTCATAACAAACATGTTCTTCCAGAATCTCCGTAATGTACCTTCGTGCACTTAAGCCCACATTTTCGATAAAGGGTAATTCTGTGCGAATGTCAGAAGATACACCTCTCCTAGCCATGACCGAGCCTCAACCAAATGGCATTCTTGAAGCAATGCAAGCTTGTGAAAATCTTTACCGGTTCTCCAAATTCTTACACGTCTATCGGATCCAGTTAGGCAGAAACGGGATTCATCTGAGAATAAAGCTTTGCTCCAACCGTTAATTCCCCAATGAGCGTATTGTCGAGCAAATGCTAGTCGTGCAACTCGATGCGCCCGGCGAAGTGGCGGTCCTGTAGCCATTACTCGAGAAGATAGTCCAGAAGAATGAAGTTTTCTCCTGACTGTTGCAACGATAACATTGCGATATCGTACTTCCTGTAGACGATTTCGATGCATAACTGTAGTTGACGCCCGGTTTCGTAAAGCCTGAATCATAAGGAAACGGTCATCTCGTGCCGTGGTTATTCTTCTTCGCCCAGAGCAAGGTCGTCTGGTTAGCAAACCCGTCTCCTGAAACCGTTAAAGCGCTCGTTGAACCGTAGAAAGGCTTACGTCAACAGTTCTTACGACTTTCCGTTGAGTGTGATCGTCTTCCACAAGCGCAACAATACGTGCCGTCAGCAGTCCAAGGCATTCTTGGAAAAAAGTAAAAATAAACACTAATAATGGCACTAATAAACACTAATGGTGGCAATAATAAACGTTTGTTCGTTGCATTTGAACAGAAAGTTGAAGCACAAATGAGACATTTAAAACAAGCGGTAGTTACAGGTACCGTTCATTTTCAGAAGTATGTACTTTTCCGCGAAATCGACACTGTTGGAATTCTTTGTTGCAAAGGAAACCGCTAAGCCGACAACAATTCTCAGAAACATGCATTAGTTTGTATTTGTGTTTTTATTATATACGATAAAACTCCTTAAAAATGAAGTAGGTATGTGATTTTCAAGTTGACCCGGATTTTATGATCGCGAGTGTATATTGTTATGGTCAAATTTCGTACATATTAGCTTCAGGTTATATTCTACTACGAAGTCTGGTTACATTCCAGTATATTTTATATTTTTACTACTTTGTATTCATATACCTCTCGGATGATCCTTTCCTGATTTCGCATTCATGTATATTGTCAAAGATGTTGTGGAATTGAACACAATCAGTCTGTAATTGCTTAAAAGTCTCTCCCTGACACCATAAGACCCAGTCCCAGATATTTATTTTATACTGTTACGAAAACTTCCCTGATTAACCGGATGTGCTTTTTTACTGATGCTCTTGGTTGCATTTACACAATTCATCCGATAAGTGGCGACTGCTATTTGCGTTAGTTGCTGGTGAATTTCCGTTGGTCGATATCATTTCAATATCTTCGAACTGTCAAAGATATAGTTGCCTAAACTTAGTGCAGCATGTCAACAGCTCAGTTTGTTTGAAAACGATAAACATTGAGACATGCCAATCACTGAAACGATTATTTCTGCATGGTCAAGTCAGATACGCTCATTGATTGCAATCATTTTTTTGCATGCTTCCCATCGAATTCACGCGAACTGTGGAACAAGTACAAGGATGACATGTCAAATGACATGTTACATGGAATTCGTATTAGTTCAAGAAATTTCAATCTATATACAGGAAGTACATAACCAGCCTTGTTTTTGATCGGAGACATGTATTACGTCAATTATATTTTCAATCGGGAATTAGAACGTAAAAGTAAATATGATCGAGATACATTGAAGCTATTGGTTCGAACGAATGTACTAATGTTGAACGAACAATAGAAGGAAGTGCACTATAAGTTAATGAAACTGGCTGATGCCAAATAAGTTGCGTTGCTAAAGGATCTTTCTGCCAAAGAGTTCTCTAAGCAATTGCTGGCTATCGGTAACGGCCGTATACTTGTCGACAAATCGAATGGTTTGATTTCGTTTCAGCTGAATTTTTTTATATTTCGTCTCGATGAATGACGATCTCATTAATAGTGTTTCCGAATATCATATGTTTTTATTTTATGTTTTTTTTTTTTATATTTGTTTCCTTTTGCTGCAAAAGGTATATAGGCATTGCCTATATCGACAATGGCGAATGAGAGTTCATTGAAACATCTACCAACATTTGGTGCTAAAAGAAATCTAGGTTCACATACTAATAAATTTATATATATATATATATATATATATATATATATATATATATATATATATAATAAAGTATTCAACTAGTGAATTCAGAGGTTAATCGATCATTAAGGTTGGCAAATAAAAAACAGAAGTCTCAATGTCAAGAAGTTTCAATGACCCCCGTAGAAGTTCATAATTGTCTCAAACCTTGGAATTTGTTGAACATATGGCCAAAGAATATAGACGCTTCTATATTCTTTGATATGGCCCTATTTCTATGGGGCCATATTCTTTGATCTATTGATATGATTTTCGGTATCGCGTCACGTCGTTTGCAGAGATTGCAATAAGTCAGTGTTTTGTTTGTCTTCATTGGAGAACTCTCTAAATGAAGCCAAATGTACGTTTAAAATTTTGTTAAATCTTCGTTTCTGCGAATGATATTATTCTTTGCAAAATTTTTGTGTTCTTTGTTTCTGGTTTTTTTTAAGTTAGTTCTAAATTCATGAGTAAACTTAAGTACATATATAATAACATCTTTAATACTACATATTGAGTTGTAAGTTATAAATTATTAGATCTGTATTTCTTATAAACTCTATGTCATCTTTGTATTTTAGAGAACTGATGAAGCTTTAGAAGTATAAAGCGAAACGTCATTTATAAACTTATGAAGTAGGTGACTTCTGTTTTTTATTTGCCAACCTTATTGACCGATTAACCTCTGAATTCACTAGTTGAATACTTTATTAATATAAATTGACGGTCGTAGTCTTTACAATATATATATATATATATATATATATATATATATATATATATATATATATATATATATATATATATATCTGATATCATCGGACAGTGTAGTCTAAGGAGATATAAACTTATATTGGTATTATGAATAAATATGTAGTAGTGAAATGAATACTAAACAAATAAGAATGATTGAAAAATTGCAAACACTTATTTCTATTTTTTTTATGTACAGGTTGAACTGGCTAGACCATATTGTAAATATTCGGCGCGTCCACCGAGTATACCATTAATACCTCTTCATGTCGAAAAAGCTGTGAGATTAACAAAAACAGGTCGACCAGGAGCAGCCTATCTTGATTTTCCTGCAAATATTTTATCGGGTAAGTAATAAAACCATCAGCAATTATGTTTGCAGTGTGTTACTATTAAACAAAATTTTAATTCTATGAGGCTGTCTATACATTAAAGAGGTTGTTTATATTTTATAGATTAGATAGAATCCAGGTTAAAAAGCTCCAGATGGAATCTATCACATCTTACTCTAGTTCATAAGTCTCGTCCATATCAAAAGCACAGATACGTTTTGATGTTAACCTCTCTGAATTTTACTAGAATCTGCCATGCGTTTAATATTTGTTCCCTTCTTCTTCTTTAAGTTCCATCTTCTATCGAAGGTTGGAAATCATCATGGCTATGCGGACTCTTTTGACTACTGCCGCTCTAAAAAGTTCTGCACTACTGCATTCAAACCATTTCCTTAAGTTCTTAAGCTAGGATATTCTTCGTCTAGTTCCATAGTTTCGTTAAAATATTTGCCGCAAGTGGTATTATCCAATATTTACCATATATATGCCTGGCTCTGGCGTTTCTAATTTAAACTTTCAATCTTTTTCAGCGATCTTTGTCTTCGCTGCATAAACTTGAGTTTGTTCTAATTCAGTTTTAATTCAGTAGATTCCTCTGCCCTTCTGCATCGCAGTATCGGCAATGATAAACCGGTTCATGGTTCTTTACTAGTCGCCTTAACTTGGTCGCTGCTATTTTCTGTCAGGAATGTTTATCGACTTTCTGGTTGATGGATGATTTGATGAAATAATTAAAGTTCTTGTTTAACGGAACATATTCTTAGATTTGCAATTAACAAACCAAAAAAAATTAATTCATTCACGCTATTTTTCGAAATAGTGGCCATTTTGTTCAAAGTACAATTTAACTGTTCCTTCAAATTTGTTTTTTACATTTTTAAGATGTCGACAGTAAATATTAGATTCTCCACGCAATACACAGACTTACTTAATAGTCCAGACGGGATCGGGTCGAAAAGCAGACCATAATGGACATTTTTCATAGGAGTCAATATTTTTGCCGGCATCACTTCAGGGTGTACCTTATATCAATAATCACTATATGCGCCAGTCACAAATCTAGTGCTTAATTATTTATCTAACCCAATCTGAAAAAAAAAATCGAAAATTTTTCCTTTTTGTGCCCATATTTCCACCTATAACTGCAGAGATATGGTTCCCACATTATAGAAGATAAAAGTTTCGTTTTTTAATTTTACATAATGTTTGACTAGCTAGAAATTGGACGGAAAAATGTTTATTGTTTAAAAAATAATTGGAAAAAAAGTTCAAAAACTGGAGTTTTTCACGATTCTTCATATTACGATTAAAACGTGTGCTAAATTTCATTTATGTCGGTTTATCAGTTTTTGCATAAGATTTAACAATCTAGGGTCCACAAAAAAAAATTGCAAATTTGCTAAATTAGGCTGGACCCAAAATAAGCACTTGAAATAGTTGCATTTTTTTTATATATAAAAAAAGGCTCAAGATTTCAAAGGCACTTTTAAAAATTGAAATCGGTCCACTAGGATAGCCTAGGGAATTTTTTAAAATTATAAAGAATTTTTTTCAAATTATAGTAGTTCAAGCGTGTTGTGATTTTTTTTGTCTTTTTATGAATGTTTTTATTGTTCTGGAGCTATTTTCTTGTGGCATTTTAAAGTAATTACTATTTAAATGGGAATAAGCCACAATTAAAGGTTAAAGTAAGTTTATTGACGTTTCAATTTCCACTTCGGAAATCGTTCTCAAAATACAAACATTGTTGCATGTTTTTTATGATTTTTTGTAAATTTTTATGAATTTTATGAATTTTTATATAAAAGGTACATGACAAGACAAGGGTTTTTGTTTAAAAATGAACCATGTATCACTTATGGTTAGGCGGCAAATGTATACCAACCAAACCAAATGCATTGTTTTTTGTTAAGAAGCGTCTTTTTTTTAGTTCTATAGGTGTACACATTTTGAAATTGGTATTGAAAGTCATATATTGTGTAAAACTCCATGCGGTTTGTGGCTGCAGACTGACGATTTAATAGTTAATAACTATTCATTTTTTAATTATGGCAATGAACAAAAACCCAGCCAGGATAATATGCTACGCTTTGCTCGACACGGTGGATTTAATAATAATGAAGGATTCCAAATTAGAGGCAAACTTAAAGACTTTTTCTGTAGTGAATATGGTGCAGTTGCATGGCAAGATGTTATTAATTCTGGACGATAAACAAAATAAATAAAGAAATATAAAAATACATATCGCTTTTATTTAGCTCCTGTCCTAAAGTCTTCCAAATGTTTTCTTTAATTACATTATTACGATAATTTTTCGACTGTTCTAACAACCATTCAAATTTCGTCATTTTGTGTCATGTGGAACAATTTTACCCAATCATGTCAACATTAGACTGATAATTGCATTCAGTGCAATTTTCAATCCCTATGACAACACAATCGAGTTTGACAACTTCATCCAAATAAATTTCAAAATGTCACGTTTCTAATGTTAACTTAAATTTTAATAATTGTACTTTCAGTAACTGTACTTTTAATAAATAAATGTTTCGTTTGTTGAGTTATGATTTTTTTTTTTCAAAAAATTATCCGCCGAATATCCCTCGGACATTGATGAATGCCTCATAATTTCGTGACAAATTTCTCAAGCTCGTTGCTTGGTAACAGCACTCAGCCTTCGGCTTCGTGCTGTTACCAAGGAACGAGCTTTCGATTGTCATGAAATTATCTCGTCTGTTATCCATGTCCTAGGGATATTACTACTGATAATTAACCTAGCTTACGTCTTAAATAACGGAATATTTTGTTACAAAGTTAATTAATTGCTCTTTTTCTTCATTTGAAAAACTCATTTTCAGAACAAATTCAATTCTTTTCACTTTTCAGTCAATTTGGAAACAGCAAAAATACGTGTTGTCTCTCTGAGGTTAGCGACACTACTGGCACCTACTGGTTCTGGTTAGTGATGGGGTAATCGACTAGTGGTTGAACCGATTAGTACTCAGACTATCGACTAGTCGATTGTTTTGACTAGTCGATTGTACACGGTTAAACGACAAACGACTAGTTCTAGAATAGAAGGTAAATCAAGAAATTCATTCATAAATCAAGAGAAAGCATTCCGGGAACCAAGAGTCGGCTATGGTCGGTTCAGGTGGGCTAGTGTTAGCGACTACTTTGGACCGAAGAATTTTATTCATAGGTTCTATCTGGGTATTTTTACATCGTTGCGTTGTCCCCATAAAAAAAAACACAAACAGACTGACAGTGACAGCTGACCACGCCTACCCCCGACTAGTCGACTAGACTAATCGATATTTAAAAGTAGTCGCTAGTCGATAGTATAAAGTAATCGATAGTCCCATCACTAGTTCTGGTGCAGTCATGCGATCTGCGGTGGCGACGTTCTGCTTGCGGCGGCGACAGTGCCGCTCTACTCGACATACAGCTCATAAGAAACCATATGAACCAGTAGGTCTGTCGCTGCGGTTTGCAGTTTGCGGTCTTGTTCCGAATCGTCCCTTAACTTGTAACTCTCTAAGTTTGGAAAATTCCCTATTCACCTAAATATAAAGACAAATACACAGATTTATAAAACATTAGTGCGAAGTATTATGGCATATGGGGCTGAAAATTGGATAATAAACAAGAAAAACAGCAGTAAGATAGTAGCAAAATAGATGGAATACCTGCGAAGATGTTGCAGATTAACAAGAATGGATAGGAGAAGTAATGACAAAATGAAGTAAAGAACATCAATAGAAACAGACATACTAACATATATAGAACAAAAAAGACTAAAGTGGTATGGACATGTATGAAGAACTAACGGCAGCAGATGGATAAAAAGAATAACCGAATTGGGCCCCATAGGAAGGAGAAACAGAGGACGACTCCGAAGATCCTGGAGGAACGAAATAGACGACGCCATGAGTAAGTCAGGCCTAAACGATGGAGAATGGGACAACAAAGAGAGATAGAAACGGTTGAGCGAGGGAAGGCAGTGAATACTGTAGAATCCCTGAATATACATATATATATATATATATATATATATATATATATATATATATATATATATATATATATATATATATATATATATATACACCCTCCCTATTTTCTCCTGGTTGACCGATGTCAATTTTTGAAGTGCGTTTGAAAGCTTGAACCTTTCTTTATACGAAGGTTTGTCTTTTAATAGGCTTAGGGAAGCTTTTCTATGCTAAGTTAGTTTACTAGATCATTTTTGTTGGTAGGCAACATAGACAACATATTTTTTTATCATCATCGTTGGTGTTACAGCCCTATAAAGAGCACCTTCTTAAGTCTATTACGCCAGTCAGTTCTAGCCATTGCCAACTGGTGCTGCGCCTATTTTTCTACCATTCTAATCTACACCATCACTCCATCTGAGTATTGGCCTACCCCTACTTCTACTTTCCATAGGTTCTGACAAGGACTCTTCTAGGAGGGTTGTTCTGCTGTGATCTTGTCAGTTGTCCTGCCCATCTTAGTCTTCCTATTTTTCTAAGGGATACTACGTCTTTACCACTAAATATATGTTTATATCTGTGATATATCTCGTAGTTGTACCTTCTTCTCCAAACACCATTTTCACAGATGCCACCGAATATTCTTCTCAGAATCCTTCGTTCAAATATAAGTTTGTATATGGTTATTTTTGTTTTTGGCTTAAGTTTCTGCTTCTTATATGTCTACTCAATCCAAAATATCATTTGTTTGCTAGGAATATTCTTCGATTGATTTCTTCCGTCATGGCGTTCTCCTTGGTGATCAGGGAGCCTAAGTATGTGAATTTGTCCACCACTTCAAAGGTAGAGTTATCAACCGTGAATTGGTGGCTGATGTTTCGGGCTCTATTGTTGGGTGTTGATGCCAATATCTTAGTTTTCTCCTCATTTACTTGCAGGCCCATATTTTTTGAGTCATTTTTGAGTTGGTATACATTTCTTCTAGCTTGCGTGTTGTGCGGGCAACTAGGTCAACATCATCTGCGTTTGCCAAAATTTGGGATGATTTAATAAAAATGTTTCCTCTGTTGTCTATTTGGGCATCCCTGACCGCCTTTTCCAGAGCTATGTTGAAAAGAAGACACACCAGCGCATCATGCGTTTCAAATGCCTGTTTTTTGTATGCTAAATTATAATTATTGACATTATATTTGATGTAAAACGAACGAACACTAACTTTTATTGTTCATAAACTCAGCTTTATTTAATATATAATATTTGGTTTTTCATATACTAATACTTTCACTACCGATTATTTTTATTACGAACTTCGAAATTAATCACGCAGAGCTGATAATTCATTATATTTAAATGCAATACAACATTTTAATTTGCTTGTGTTATTTTTCTTTCGAGTTTATTTTACCTCAACTTTTGTATCTTATATTCTGTGCTTCAGGTCGAGTTTCTCAAGAAAAAATACCACAACAGTATGGACCAATGCCTATCCCGCAAGTTTTCCCAGATCCAAGACAAATTGAAAAGGCAATAACTGTTCTTTCGCAGGCCCGAAACCCCTTGATAATTGTAGGAAAAGGTGCGGCTTATTCAAGAGCCGAAAAAGAAGTCAGGGACTTGGTAGAATTGGCCAATTTACCATTTTTAGCCACACCAATGGGAAAAGGAGTCGTACCTGACACTTCTTCAAAGTTCGTTGGATCTGCAAGGTATTAATAATGAAAGAAATTAAATATTTAAATTATATATATATACTATATATATATATATATATATATATATATATATATATATATATATATATATAAAACTGTTTTGGATGGGTTGGAGCACAGCCCACCTTTACTTCCAAGCCATGAAGTAAAAAAGGCAACACACGCATTCTATGACGTCGTAGTCCGATAATCAGCTGTAAGGTCTACCAGAATATTAAACTAATTTGAATTTTTGAATTTTAGGAAACTGATATTTTGAAAACTTCAATTCATTACAGAAATATTTTTAGGGAAATTAAATTAATAAAGCCTTATATATACCTAGTAAATATATATAAAGTTTTATTATTATTTAGGTTATATTATCAATAAAATAATCACTAGAGTAAAAATTTATTGCACCTAAAATACAGTGTCAAACAGTTAATCTTACAATCAAATGCAGTCAAGAATCTCTAAAAATTTTAAATATTAAGTACGTAAGCATATAAATAACACAATACATTAACACGACATTTAAAAAGATTATTAAAAATACAAAAGATATAAAATTTGTGCTACGTAAAAACTTAGTGTAACTATTATGATTAAAAAATTCATCCTAAGAAATCAGACACAATATAAATATGGTTCTAAATTAATCTAATTGAAAATTAAATATTTTACTATTTACTTATAACTTTTGTTGAATTTTCATACTTAGATATACAAAAGTAGCAATTTTAAATATGAATAGGTTTGTTGTCATATAGACCAAGTTAAAAGAGGTATACATGAAAAATGTGTTGAATGTAACATACCATTTATAACTTGTATATCGATTTAAAATAGCCTATATTCTCAAAAGATTTTTGAATGTAATACTCAAATTTGTTATCACTTATCTAAAAAGCAGATCTAAATGAGAAAGTAAGTTCTCTAATTGTGACCATCTTGTTAATTTAATATATTGTAAAATCCATTTCAAATCATTACCACTTAATCTATTCTTACCTACATTAACGATTACACTAAAATTACTGCTAACTATTACACTACATATACACAAATATTATCACACTTGTGTTCCAACTGATTAATGTTTAATACATAGAAATATACACAGTCACTTGTAATTTTACTTGTCCAGTTTTTCAATGGGATATTATTGTCTAAGTCTAATTGACATAATTATGTTATCTCTTGTTCCCTCTTCTTATGCAAAAGTTTCTTCTGTCTTCGGGATTCCTTCTTTCTTTAGTACGATGAACAGTTACATATGATGGTACTTCAGGAAATATATTAGGAACTGCATTGCCTTTTAATTTGGGAAATATTAACTTTTCAATGTTCATGAAAATGTTTGGCACATACTACGGAAGATTTGGTAATTGTACAGCCTTCTCTATGAATAGAGCATAAGCCAGTATACCTTCTTTGGGGATCTTTTGGAAACAAAAACATACTTTCTGCCTGTTTCGTTTTTAAAAGTACTGGCATAATTGGTTTTGCAACCAGGTACACAACAATGCCAGAGCACCTATAACAAAAAACAAAAGTATTATTATTGTTGTTTTTAGTTTACATATTTTGTAACAAGAAGCAAAAGTATTATTATTTTCAATTGGTTTTGTAGGTTATATTTATACTTGCCTTTTAAATTGTCTTTAAGAATCTTCTAAAAGTTCTAAATTTAATGAAATTTTACTTATATTAATATTTTCTAATTGATTTAAACACAATTTACAAATAAAACATTCGAATAAAGTTAAAAAAACAATAAATTCAACAAACTTTACAAGCCTTCCTATATGAAATGTTAAACCAAAACAAACCACAGTCGGACTACCACGCGTTGTTGCCAAATTTCTACTTCATGGCTTGGAAGTAAAGGTGGCTGTGGTTGGAGTCAATAAAAGGGGCTATTTGTTGACTATTTTTTACTCGAGCTTTCAATTGTGATTACAATTATATCAAGAGCTTCTAAAAAATACAAAATATCTTACAAAGTTGAACTAGAAATAAAAAATTTTTTGTTAACTCACCAAATAAATTAGTTTTTTATATAAAGCTGCTGCTAACATTATTACAAAAAATATTATTAAAAAAATGTCCTATTCTAATAAATCTCTGAAATAAACTTTGATAAAGTTTCTTAACAAATACAATTGAATTTGTAAACAAAAATTGAATAGCTACAAATCAGCCTAAATGTCATAAATACCAACTTAAAAATTTTTATTTTGACATATTGTCAAAAATAAAATTTTGTTTAAAAAATTATTTTTTGTTTAGTAACAAAAAAGAAGAAGATTTATTCACCATTGATAGATGCCTGAAAAAATGGAACAAATACATGGAAAATTCAAAATGTGATATTTTACTTATTGCATATATAAATTACATAGAAATAATATAATTATAAATTTTGCTTAGATTTTGAATTTCTTACCTTTTGTTTAAATTATTATCACTTTTGCTAATACAAACCATTTCCAAAAAGTTCTTTTAAATTTATTACTTCACTACATAAAATTTTAATATTATCAAACACACTTTTACTTCACACTTTTATTTTTGACAATATGTCAAAAATAAAAATTTTTAAGTTGGTATTTATGACATTTAGGCTGATTTGTAGCTATTCAATTTTTGTTTACAAATTCAATTGTATTTGTTAGAAACTTTATCAAAGTTTATTTCAGAGATTTATTAGAATAGGACATTTTTTTAATAATATTTTTTGTAATAATGTTAGCAGCAGCTTTATATAAAAAACTAATTTTATTTGGTGAGTTAACAAAAAATTTTTTATTTCTAGTTCAACTTTGTAAGATATTTGTATTTTTTAGAAGCTCTTGATAATAATTGTAATCACAATTATCAAAGCTCGAGTAAAAAATAGTCAACAAATAGCCCCTTTTATTGACTCCACCCATCCAAAACAGTTTTTATATTTTTTCCAAACGAGTCACAAGTACTTCTTTTTTCTTACTATATATATATATATATATATATATATATATATATATATATATATATAACAATTTATTGTTTTGGAGTATCAGGTATGCGGTCTGTTATTAAAAAATTTTTTTTTTATTTTATTACTCTATATTTCGCTGATTTTTGTCAGCTTCTTCAGAGATAACTAAAAATATGGTTAAAATTTTATATACATAGGTGATAATAAACAATGAATTTACTTACAGATTAAGAGTTAAAATATTTAAAAATGTTGAACATAATATATTCAAAACAGTACTGATAGTATTAGTCAAAAGCATCTAGTCACTAGTAATAAATATAACAAAAAAAAATATAATAAATAGAAACAAAAACAACCAAGAAACAATAAAAACACATATAAAATTACACATTAAAAATATACAGGGTGATTTAAAAAATATAATTGTAAAAAAGAAAAATTATTTGAACATACTAAGAATATTTTTTTAATAAAAGACCGCATACCTGATACTCCAAAACAATAAATTGTTATTTACGTTTCGGTCGATAATCCTACCAGTTTTGCTATATATATATATATATATATATATATATATATATATATATATATATATATATATATATATATATAATATATAATATATATATATATATATATAATATATATATATATATAAATATATATATATATATAATATATATATATATATATATATATATATATTAATATATATATATATATATATATATATGAATCACCAAGTTCACGGAAAGAACCGCGTTGAAAATTTAATGCTTAATGATTTAATGCGTTTCGACACCCATTTTGGAGCCAGGTCTCAATCTGTATACTCCTCAGTGTCGAGTGGCTTAAGCTTTGTGGGTTGGGTGGGGGGTCGCTGAAGTAGCGGTCGCCATGTTAGCGGAAGTCGTTTAGCGTCATTATATCGCATCATAGCGTCGTAAATGCGCGCACACCTATTGTACCTTTGCTCCAATTGGTCCAATTGTGCATTAACCAATAACATTTAACCAATAGCATTTAACCAATAGAATACAATGAGATAGAAAATCATATACATCAGCATATCAAAAAAGGCCTTAGTTATATATCTCTGGTTCTATTAGTCCAATCGTGACGTACAAATGATATAATTTAACTAATAGTATACAATGAAACAGAAAAATCAAATACAGCAACACGTCAAAAGCGCCTTAGTTACATATATTCGCTCCTATTGGCCCAATTCTGACTAAGCAGACGAAAAACTTCCGTGTCAAGTCTTTCAGTAACGCTAGTTTTTAAATGTAAAAGTCCAAATTCATTGACAAACGTGTTTAGCGAGGACATTCGGTTCGTATTTAAATTCAAACATTTCGGCTTTATCGATTATCTCTATATTTTATATCTGTATATATGTACATTTTTCGTTTGAATTTATTGTATTATAACAAAATTGTAGCACCCAAGCTATCATTCTTAAAAGTTTTATGTAGATACTGAGAAAAGTATTGCAGATGCAAATCGTCGGACGTCATATTCAATAAAGACGAATTGGCTTTTTTCAGACTTCTTCTTCATCAACTTCTACTTTTTGTTGGAACCAATCATTTTCTTTTCTGTACATCCATTCCTGGTCCTTCCACCGTCGAGGTTGGAACAATTGCCTCTTGATGGAAGATTGGCAGGATTGAGAGAACCAGTTACATATTTTCAACGCTCAGGATTGGCTAAATTTCTAATCTCCTGAACTCTATTAAAAACAAAAACAGACCAGTCATTGTCACGTTGAATCCAAGAAAGAACAGTAGTGGAATCACTTAAAAATAAGACTCAACATATTGAGACAATTGTCTTTTACAGTCTAGCACCAATAGTAGCTGCCAACAGTTCAATCTGGGTATAGAAATCTTCTTTAAAGGAGCCACACGACTCTTAGCTGTTACAAGGAAAATTGAGACATCATCATTCTGAACAACTCTTAAAAATACTACAGCCGCATAAGCTTATTTACTTGCATTTGAAAATGTGTGCAAGCTTCAAT